TCTGCTGCTAAATTATTTGAGCGTTTTATGTTTTTGTCTGGATTATGAACATCAACAAAACTCATTCAATTGGTTTTTAGAATGTCCCACACATCTGGGCTACGGTTATCCTATTGGTTTTTTTTTTTTACGTGACACCAAATGTTTATTCCTTCTGTCTGTCTATAAAGCTGTCTCTCTTTTTCCTTCTCTCTTTTTCCTCTCATCCCTCCCTCCCTCTATCCCTCCCTTCCTCACTGCCTCCCTGCCCCAGGCAGTGTGTCTAGTTTCACAGAGCAATTGAAGGTGACAGGGACAGAGAGAGAGGGAGAGGGAGGGAGGGACAGAGGGAGAGAGAGAGAGAGGAAGAGGGAGAGAGAGAGAGGGAGAGAGGGACGGTGTGAGGAAAAGAAAAGGGAATTCAATTCACTTCAAGAAGGGGGAATAAATGAATAGTATGGATTTGCATTATGGGAAATGTAGGATCCAGTATATTTAGACCAATATAACTAGGTCAGGATAACTCAGGTCTCTGCTGCGCAGATTTTGACCATTCTCTTTTAAGTCTCTTACAATTTACCCAACTTTGTGGAAATTCCCCTTTAACACTGGTGATGAGGAAAATGACATGAGGGGGACTTACAAGGTGAAGGTACCGCATGCTCCATTACAGGATGTGACATTGATCCTCTCTTTGGAGTGGCAGCCCTGGCTCTCCAGGTAAACAGGAGTGGTGGACACACTGCACGGTTGACCCCTCGGAATACCTGCAGCAGAGAGTGAGGGGAGAGCATCTCATTAGACCACGTGTGTACTCATAGCATCTTCAAAATATGAAGACTATAGTTCGAACACAACTACACTTGGTGTTCTTAGGTGAAAACCACTGACTGTATCAAACGCCAACAACAATGGCGGCTACTAAAGAGGTTAGTGTAGATGCTGCTAGCATCAGTTCTATCAGAACTGGAGAGTATTTCTTCATTGAAAGAGGAAAGAAAGGTACTGAGGGCTTTTCTCCATGGAGAAGATGTTTTCTCTCTTCGCCCAACTGTCTTTAGTAAGAGTTTGACTATGTTATATGGTTCATTGATCTGATTGGTTAAAGTTCACCTGTGATAGACAGTGATAGATAAATGGTTCATCACCTGCAGAGTATTTTTTACAGGTGTTCTGAACACTTTCCAATGACAACTTTCCAGATGGTTCTGTGTACCAAACCATTTGGCACAGTAAGGTTACATAAATGTAATGTATGACAGACACCTTCAATTCATAATGCATTACTGTGTCTTAGTAGTCATATGGCAGTATGTTATTTAAAAAGGCCATGGATCAGAACTGATTTCAATGGTTTTGCTAATTTTACATGGAAGGTTAGACGCTATAAGGGCTTTGTGCAACCAGAGAGAAAGGAGAGTGTGGTCAGGCCACAGGAGTGTGAATAATACACGTATATGAAAAATTCATGGAAGCAATACATACAGACACGGCAGCATCCGTCTGGAGCTATGGTCTCAGTTCCCTGCAGGAGACAAACACATTCATCAGTATTCTGTTGGGTCATGTTTCATTCTGCAGAGAGTCACATTAGACAGCAGGTAGCTGTGTGTGTTTTATATTCCATCATGAAAATCTTCCAAGAACATGATGCTACAGTGATGATGTTTTGTGCGTGCGTGCGTGTGTGTGTGTATTCTACCGGTATGCAGTCTTCAGCGACGTAGGGAGGACAGACGGTCTTAGCCTCGACGGTGATGAACTGATTAGCGATCTGCACGCACTCAAACTTCAAACAGGGGAGTCCAGGGGGGCTCCAAATGATGCCCGGCTATAGAATAACACAACACAGTCACTTTCATAATCTCCAAAACAACATCTGTGGACTGTTCTTGTGCTGGCTTCTAAATCTAGGATCTAAATCCTTGGACTCTGAGCCATTTTCAGTACCCAGTACCTGTGAGTACCGGCCCATTTTACTCACTGGAGATTTTTACCAAATGCAGCATGTCTTTAACTGCACATCTAGCGGCTGGTTTTATTTTGCATGTGTGTGTGCTGAAATAGCACCAAAATAGATGCAGCTGTACAAATGAGTGTGCTCTGGCAGCATCATTATTGTATTTAAAAGACAACAGTGATGTTAGTGACCTTACAGATATATCAAATCTAATCTCCTCTTGTCATTCTCTCTCTCTGAACACAGACACACTGCATGCATACACATACACACATACCAACCTTTAATAGGTGTGTAGAGTTGTTTGGCAGTATGACAACGCAGCCTATAGGGACACACTTCCCACAGCACTGACCAGGGGTGAGCTGGTACTCATAACCCTGAATAGTGAAACAAAGACAAACTCAGTAACAAAAACACAATATATAACATGTAAAACCAGCACCAGGACAGGTCTGTCAACACTAAATGTTAGGATTTCCATTTAGGGTTGACATTAGTCTTCTGGTGGGTTTACAGTACGAATCAGTACGAATATAAATGATATATGCACATATCTTCATGATTTCTGTTAGTTATTTCCAGTAACGGAGATGAGTGATGAATCATACTTTTAGATTTCTTTTTAATACAATTCTGTCTGTATTAGGTATTTCTGAAATTTACAACAATCATGCATACTTATTGGCCTTCTTTTTTGATAAATTTGTGTCTTCTTCTCATTGTTCAGCTCTTTGGTTGTTTGAACTTTTCTAATGCAAGATGAGTCTGTTTATTAGAGAGTGAAGGCTCAGTAAATCTAGCCTGTGTTCAGCTCTTCAGCTTCCTGTTTATATCTGAAAAAAATACTTTAAAATCTAAAATAACAATTTCATTTAGTTTTCTTCACAGAGATGACTGCAATGCTGAAATATAGACCTGAAAATATAATATATATATAATATATATATATTTTACAACCCCTTAAAATCAAAAAGGCCTCACGAACCAGGAATCTAGAAGTAAGTTTGTCTGTAAATCTGAGTTTGCATGTGACTGATAAAAGCTTTGAATAGTGATTAAAAAGGACATAATAGAAGTAACTAACATTAACAACAACACACCAACACTTCTCCAGAGACACCGATCGCACTCACCATCCTGTCTTGTGTCCTCTCAGAATCTTGTTTCCACTTACGAATCAGTACACTCTCAGAACAGGTAAAATAACCCATGTTTAAATTGGTTTTGTGCTCTTTCGTACCCAATAGTTTTACTGAACTGATGGGTTTCCAAATACGTAAAAAAAAAATTATGTTTTGCTCCTTACTAATAGTAGATATCCTTTTAAGTAAGGAGGGAAAGTCTAGAACTGAACAGGCAATACAAGCAGGATGGAATAAGATAACTGTCAGAGGTCAGTTTTTATGGGCATTAATGTCCGCTATAATAATTACCTGTGTTGGCCTTGCTGAAAAAAATCCATGAATGTTTGGGAGAAGTAAGTTAGTGAGAGAGGGAAAGGAGGAGAGGAAAAGGAAATGAAAGAGAGAGAGAGACCAGTCTTACCAGAGGGCAGAATTTGTCACATGGTACAGGCTCACAGTCTATTTGGTGCAGACTGCTGCCGGTATCTGGCTTGTTAGTACAAACGCAGGTTTCACATGGCTTCATGGGAACCTTCTCTCCAATCTGGATAAACAGAAGGTCAACACAGATACAGATGTTTGTAAATGCAGTTACACCTCACAACCTAATGCATTCCAGTATAACACCACTGTAACTCTAACCTCCATAATGAACATATAAATGCCTCTCAGCTGTAGCAAAGTTTCCACTGAGTGTATGTTCACAATAAACGTAAAAGTAGGGATGGAAAGAGGGCTAAAATATGAACCAGCTTTATTGTTATGGCTTATGAATTCAACTTTTCATGTGTGACAGGGATACTGTAGGAAGTAAAGTTACTTTGATCTTTGCCCTCAAAAGATTTAGTGCACTGATGCCACAGTGTGGCCATTTGTAGCGCTTTATAAGGGCTTTATGTTTTGTTATAAATCATGAAAAATGAGGCAAAGAAGAAATATTTTTTTCCTGGTTTCACTAATGGATCCATAATTATATATTCAATTTGGGGTTCTTATCTACCTCTGTGCCACAGTGGCCAAACAACGCCCATTCTTTAGTGCAGAACTCACTTTGGCAGGAACTCTGGTCTGTAGGGCCCATTAAGATTTCTTTGCTGTCTCTCTTGTTTCTGACTGAAAGTGATTGAGTATTCAGGACCTTTATACTGAGTGATCATAGTGTCATTTGTACAAAGAGTTTCCTTGCCTAATGATTAACTTTTAAAGAGCACTTTTTTCATTATTGCAGAAACATTGTGTTCCATTGTGAATGTACTTGTGAGATATGTTCTCCAAGTGGATATTTCTTTTATTATGCGATTGAGAACTGGTTCTCAGGCTCCTTTTCCTCTCAGCTGAGATCTGTAGAATCAGTCCTGCCACACAGGTATTTGTACTTCTACCTGAGTAAATAATGTGTGTACCTTTGCCACCTCTGAATGTAAAGTTATAATTTAGTGCTGATGATCTGTGGCTAAACCTGTACAAAGCCTATTATTCCCAGACAAGACTTAGGTAACCTATAAAAGTCATAAAATAACCACCATTACTACCAGTTATTATGTCTAGAAATGTTATGTGATTATTTGCAAATATTTCTCATTACATCTGATGTTTCTGGTTGTAGAAAAATTACAACACCCTCCTGTTTTTTTCATGTATTCTATTCTAATCACATCAGTTTCACATGGAGGTGGTAGATGTGAGATCTCACCTGATATTCATGGTTGTTTAGAACACACACATCCTTCATCTCTGTGAAGGAAACAGACCAATCAATGAATGAACTCTACATGTGCTGCAACAATCACAGTGATGAAAATGAAACCTTGCTATGCAGTTGCACAACTCACCGCAGGTATAATTGACACAGCAGACTCCTTTAGTGATAGTTAGAGTATATCCAATAGGACAGGATGCCACAGATTCAGGGCACAGCTTCATATCACACTCTATTCAAAGACACAGATGGATGAATGTTCATACAGCTATAACAATAATAATAACAACTGAGGAGCTCTTGTAAAATAGCCTAAAGGGCCTGTGGTTTTCATAACAGGTGACAAAAGTTCATGTTGTGCTCATTTGTGGTTTCTTGCCTCTGTGTCGTCCATTACAATTGTGATATGTACAATGTCCATGGGTTTTATCCCACTTTTACCAACAACAGCTGTCATATCAAAGTTCTGATCTATATGAATATTCACAGACACAGTTCCTGTATATTAGAATTCCAGCTTCTTGCATTACTGGTACAAACACCAAACCGCTGATAGCAGGAAAGAGTGTAATGGTGGATCATTAATTTACAACACCATGCATCAGAGGTCCTGTTGCACTGTGTAGTCCTATACATTTATGGACACCTGCCTGCTTATCAGAATAGTAATAATACAGTTTATATACTTAGAAATACAGACTGCATTGCCTTAAGCAGTTGCTATCTACTTGGTGCTCACTTACCACACCTCTCCTTTTGACAGCAGCCAACAGTATCAGTGACCTTGACCTGACCCTCCTGGTCACAGCTGACGGGTGGCTCTGTTGGACAGGACAGGGGACGGCAGGTGACCTGCAGTGTGTCTTCCTCACATATACACTCATCACAGCCATCTGTCCATGTTGTGTTGGCCTGAGGACACAGTGTTTATTTTAGGTTCATGGCAGGAGGCATGACATTATCAGATATAACTGGCCTGTAAAAAGGTTACGTAAAAATGGGACAGGGATTGTAGATTAATAATTTACCTTTGTCCATTTTCCATTAGGCAGTCGACAGATTTCTATAAGGAGAAAAATATGAAGCATAAAGTCCATTTATTAGGGTTCTGGTTAGCCTGTCTCAGAAGCCTAGTCAATTCTAAATGTATTCTCCCTAAAATATTTTTTAGAACAATTCCTTTAATCTCCCAGTTCATATTGTAACACTTGTTTACCATTAAAACTGGATTATTAGTCCTTAATCCATAAAGCACATAAGGGACGGATCTAGAGAGGCAGCATGGGCTGGCAGCTGCCACCCCTAAAAAATGTCTGGCCACCCCAGTTTGGTGTAAAACAATGTCAAATTTAACACATTACTATAAAATAATTTATAATAACATGTTAAAAATGAATTATCTGTTATGATCAAACTGTCAAATATCTTCATTTTTCCAAGCAAATATTCATATATGTGATTGTTTGTGATTAAATCATCATATATTTCTACCACCCCTTCTCCATGCCACTGCATTGTGTGGTAGCCAATGGCTGCTGTACAGCTGCAGATAGCCAATTTGCATGTCCCTTCTTTAAACTGGCTAATACTGCCACAGTCTTCCAACAGACTGAGACTCCAGCCACAGATTTGACTCCTTGAGCTTCAGCTTCAAAATCAATGACAGTCTAGCTCCATCTAAAGATAAATGTGTGTTGTTAACATAAATAGACTGAACAAGACAGATGTGAAGTAGAAACCTATATTTGTGTGCAGGCTTCTATCCAAAAGAAAAAAATGACAGCTCTGAATAAATAATGAAATTTTTCAAAGTTTCTATAATCATTACATTATTACAATAACCCTGCATTGCAAAGTTATGGTAAAACACAGGGAAAAGTTTGCGATAGATTGTCATCTAAAATCAGCTGCAGACCTGGGTTTACAGCATCAAAGTAGAACATGTCATTATTACACTGTCCAAACTTGTGATTTTAAAGATAGAATAACAAATGTGGCTGTCAAAAAGTTCAGGCAGGACACTCTTACATGCAACTGCTACCATGCAGTATGTATATGTGTATGTATATATTATGTGCTCTTACCACAGGAGGGCACACACTCATTGATGCTGGAAGAGAGGAGGTAAGTGCCATTTGGGCAGTAGCAACCCTCCAGCTTCACATTCATCATGGCACTGAACTGGTCGACGGCATAGATGAATTTCTCATTGTACCTACAGAAATTAGGCCACACCTTGTTATTGTATGTGAGTCAAAGCATAAATGAATGAAAAAAAACTAGCAACAACTATGTGTCTATGTGTTGGTGAATTACTGTACCATGAATCACAGGTAGGCTCCACTAGAGGGCCACAGGCCTCATACACTTTGGGGCTTGGACATTTAAATTCTATGAAGAGAGGAAGAGAGAATAGACATTGTGTTTTTTAATAAGGCTCATTGCTGTGATGTTGGTGTGAAATTATGAGTTTGTAATAGTGCTTGTCGTTGGCAGGGAATATTTTAGTTGTATACCACAGAGTCCATTGGTGGCACTCCTCCAGTCAATGCACACTCCGCTCTCGGCGCAGGCATCAGCGTAGGTTTGTAAGCTGGTGCAGCCGATGTGATTAATGTGCATATGGCAGATGTCAAACTCACATGCCACAACAAAAGGACTGTAGTCAACGACCTTGTGGCAAGCTTCAAACACACTGGGAAAGATGGGATTTATAGTCAGTATGGACACAAGGTGAATGCATCATTACACATTATCAAGCTGAGACAAGTGGATAAACCAGTAATGTAATGCTTGCCAGCTGTGTCTAACAAGGACTTTTCAGACATGGATTAGTGCCGGACATGACAGGATGGTTATGGAAAGAGCCACAACACAGCACTGATATGAAGGAAGAGGAGTGTTTTTTGTTCTTTTAACACTTGCACTTGAAGCCCCAATTAAAGGTCCAGTGTGTAACATTCAGGAGGATCTATTGGCAGAAATGGATATGTATGTTTTCATTAGAGTATAATCACCTGAATATAAGAATCTTTGTGTTTTTATTAACTTAGAATGAGCTGTTTTTATCTACAGAGGGAGCGGGTCCTCTTCAACATAGTACGCATGTTGAACCACCATGTTTCTACAGAAGCCCAGAATGGACAAACCAAAGACTGGCACTAAATAGGGACTTTTGCAATAATAAAGTGTGAGTGGACAGAGAATCTCCCTGTATAAATTTAAATATTTGTAAATTCACAGATAGAGATGGCTGGTTTTCCCACTTTTCCTCCAACAGTACCTGCTTTTCATGATCTCACAGACGGTTGTATTGCAGGGAGTAGGCGTAGTTGTTGGTGGTGGTGTGGGTGGAACTCGATTACAGTAACTGTTGTTAGCATGCCACTCGTGTGCCATATGAGGACATGACGGATCAATTTTGCCATTGGGCAACATGCAGTCATCTGTCCGGTTGTTGTCACACGTGCCTAGAGAAACCATCATCATTAGTAAAAACATGACAACTCAAGTCAGCCCTGTACTGTTGTTTTCCTCACTAGATATGTACAATTTTTACTGTAAGCGGTTTTTTTCAACATTTAATTATACTGAATGCAGAATGTGTCAAGAAGGTGCAATAGATAGATCTGTATGAGCTACTGTATATATGCATATCATTTATCAACTGCTACCAAACTGTAAGATGCTATAAATTTATACTGCAGAACTCACCACACTGTCCCACAGTGTTCCCACCAAATTGACTAAAGGGCAGGTAGATACTGAATATGAGCCCGGAGAAGGTGATCTTGGCATGGATTTTAGGGATGAGGAGCACTGTATCAATACCGGTGGTAGTTAAACGGAAGTCACCATTCTGGTATGCAGGACTCACAGCCTTGTCATTCACAGAAATCTAAAACAGAAAGCATTATGAAATCAATGATGAAAGCTCTTCTTTGGGCAGTTTTACAGTATATGTATATCATTACAGTGTATATAAGTATGTATATAAGTCCAAACCAGTGGTTGCATTTGAACTGAAGGAACAAAGGGGGGAATTGCTGCTTGGATAATGGTTAGAGTTTGAATTAAAAATGTGCTATTTCATTACCTGATTTATGAAATCGCCATTGATATCCTTCTGTGTAATAAAGATCTTGTAGTTTTGGTAGAAGACAGTAATAGACTGTGGACAGGACAAGCCATCAGCTGCACCACAGTAGTAGTTATCGATCATCACACTGAAGTTGTATCTGGGCAATATCTCTTTCACCAGCCAGTAGGAACAGTTGCCTTGAAAACCATAGTAGGTTCCATCGAAGGTGACATAATGGGGGTCTCCCCAACCGTAGCAGACACCTTCATACAATAAATTACATTTTTAAAATGACATTTCAAGTCATCTGGTCCATCCATTGTTAAACATAAGTAATATACAGTAAGTAAAATTAAAACACAAAACAAAACAAAACATTGTTAACCTTTTACATGTTTAACCTGAGGATTATGCAATATTTTAGTAGGCCAGACTTACATTGGCATTCATAGTGAGAGCAGCATCCGTCATCATCTGTCACTTCAACAGCATGGAAGTTATTTGCGCACACTACAGGCTTTGGTGTTGGACAGGAGGTCTGGTTACGGGTCACTTTACCATTAATGCATTTTGCTAGCGTACATTTTCCTTCCTTCCACACTTCCCCATCCTATGAGGGTAATCATACATTGGAATTAAAGAAAAAAAGAGGATTACCATTGTCATAGAATACCATAAAAATTTGTCATGCAAAATCAACTCCACATATCATGATAGCATTTTAAGGGTTGAGCAGAGGAAGTTAAATATGTACAGAATGGAAATAAATAAGTACCTTTCTTGGAGGATATTCATGAAGACAGTCTACATGACATTGCTGTTTAACCACTACATGACAGGTGTCATTGCAGTACCCTATGTAACAATAGCCCTCATTGTCTGTCTCATTATAGACTATGGAACCTAAAAATGAAGCACAGGAAGATGGTTGAAAAAGAGTTTGTCACATATAACATCTGTGATATCATATATTACAGCGTCTATTCACACAATGTATACACATTTAGATTAATAGACAATAAACTTTCTATTTCACAGGAGACCAATATGAAGATCCGATGCATTAAAAACTCAGCTTGTAAATGACAAGCTGTCACAAAATGTAATGGCAATATACTGTACTGTGCCTTTGAGTGGATGAGCTGTTTGACTTGTGGGGGAAAAAAAATCTAACATTATGCGCAAGATTTTGATTGCTAAATTGATAAACCTTGATAAACAAATTCATGCTGTTGGCCAATAGCAAACTTTCTTGATAGTGCTGACCTCTGTGAGAGCCAGAGATTCTAAAAGGAAGCTATCACAGTCTCTGTTGCATCATTTACTTATATTTAACCCACCCACTGGAGTATTATTGCTAGACAAAAAAGATATAGTTTGGAGGTATGAGGCAGAAGTAGATGTTACAAATATGCATGTTGAATAAGCTGTGTGAACATTTTGTTCTGTTAGCAACCAAGCTAAATGGCTTGTAAACTGACATATTCCTTTTCTCTTCCAAGTTCAATTAAAGTAAGAAGGTAAAGTAACTAGCTCAGTCAGACCAACGAAAAAAAACCTTGAAACATTAATTCAAAGTATCTGTTAGTAGTGAAGGATAGCTCCAAGCATTCTAGATGTAAAACAGCAAACCAGCTGGCCAAGTTTTTCTAATGATATAAAGTGGACAAAAGGTTTTTTTCACATGCATAGTACCACCATGGTGTATATTTTGCATTCTACTTCAGAACACAACAATGTTAAAACTTTAGTTTTGCCCTGAATGCCACAGTACTGTTGCTGAGTAAGGGAAAGCCCAAATTTAAAAGTGGACAATCACAATGATGTCTGCCATAGATGTGACACAACTAAAAAGTAAACATTGTAGTGATTAATCAGAACTTACCAGGGGGAAACAATGTACCATCATGAGAGCAATGGCAAGGGGGATATACTTGAGAAGCTGTTTGGATAGGAGGAGAGGTTCCTCCTGTCACTACAGGTTCCTCAGTTGTGGTAGTAATGGAAGTAAATATAACTGTAGGTGACTGAGTTGTAGTTGTTGTTGTAGCTGTGGTAGAAGATGTTGTGGTTGTACTAGTAGTCGTAGGAGGTTGAGTTGGAGTTGGAGTCTCAGTTGTGGTAGAAGGTGTTGTGGAAGTGGTAGTTGAAGGTGTTGGACACCCACAGCATTTGAATTTAATCTCATAATCAAAACACTCTTGCTGAAGTCCTTGTTGTTTGTTGTTGCAAATGAGACCCACATCTTTATTGCAGGTCACATCTTGTCCCACCTGTGACATGGAAAGATCTGGGAAATTAATTGCTCTACACTGAACTTCTTCTGGAGCTCTGCAACCATAACCAGCAGCGATTATTTTCTGGATGGATTCATCTTCACCACCATTAGGGCCTGGTGTGGGCTTTCCCAGACTGATCCAGTCTGACCAACCACATGTCATATCATGTCCCCCAGGGCAAGGTGTGGTTGTCGGTGGCTGAGTTGTTGTTGTAGTTATGGTTGTGGTAGGTGTAGTGGTTGTCGGTGGCTTGAGTTGTTCGTAGTTACAGTTGGTGGTAGGTGTAGTGGTTGTCGGTGGCTGAGTTGTCGTAGTTACAGTTGTGGTTAGGTGTAGTTGGTTGTCGGTTGGCTGATTTGTTGTTGTAGTTACAGTTGTGGTAGGTGTAGTGGTTGTCGGTGGCTGAGTTGTAGTTTCAGTTGGGGTAGAAGGTGTTGTGGTTGTACTAGTAGTCGTAGGTGGCTGAGTTGGAGTTGGAGTCTCAGTTGTGGTAGAAGGTGTTGTGGAAGTGGTA